CAGGAATTTCACCCCCCCCCCCCCCCCCGCCATCATCAAAAATATATGTCATGCAACTTAGACAACTTAACAATACATCGACATGAATTCATGACACCCCTCTCCCTAAGAAGCGTGACATCATTTATGGATGGCTGCTAAGACAAAAAATTTTTTTTTAAATTCATACCTGGGAGATGTATTTGTAAACAGAGAATTATAATACATGATGAAAATGTGCCGCACATACGCAATGTTTGTTGCATCTAACTTAAATCGCAGCTGAAAATGTAAACGTGGTAAAAAATATGGATTCTAAAAATAATAATTTCTACATGAGCAAGGACAAGTGACATTAATTTTTTTTCCCTCTACAACACTGTACAAAAGTGCAACTAACACGAGCTATTAAACAAAATATCACTAGTTAGAATACAGTCGATACATCCCTTCAAGTTTAAATTATCTTGCTAATCTTGCAGTGATGTTAAATTTATGTCACGTTTTCAGGAATGCAAGGGTTAACAAAAATAAATCAAATCACATCTGTTAGGAAAGATCCGGTAAAAAGTTTATAGGTATAAATGTTTGTTACAAAAATAGTTGACAGCTACAAAAATTAATAAATATTAATACAATGACATTAATTGATGAAATAACGCAATAAAAATTAGGAACAATATAAGAGAAAATATAGAATGTAGATGAATACACAATTTAAATAAATTACAATTGCTTTACATTGAAATAATACTTTTTGAAATACCACAACATATGTTAATCAAACATTTAAAAAAATATTTATCAGTAGATTGTATTTGCTGAAGCAGAAATTAATTGGTAATGTTACATTGTTCCTTCCCCTGTCTCCAACTTTTAAATTATTTTAAAAATGGTGTAGGTCTTATGATTTAAAAATAAATTCATAAATATATCATTTGAAATCACATAGATTTGTTTTTTCATTTCATAACAAAACTTTATCACAGTCCTTCATAACATCAATATTGTTATCTAAAACATCAACCAACATAAACAATATGCTTTTATTTAAAAGCATTTATCGAAAAAGTGATTTTTTTAAAGCAAACAAAAATATATTCAATCCTTGGCCATGATGAAGCTAATGTAGTGAGTGAGAGACTGGAAACATATCACAATTTAGTAATGCTGGTGGCACAATTGGTGATCACAAAACATGTCAGTCAACAGGTGCTCTAATCTTCTGTACTTGATGTTTTCTAGTCGTCTTTCTGGCATAGACAAGCACACCCTCGTTTGACCCAGTGCTGGACAGGTTTCTTGGTTGGCAGCCAAATGGCAAGGACAAAGTTGGTTGAATGACCGGTTGTGGAAAGCACACCTTTACGTTCACTAGTCTTGTATACAGGGCACCTGTACCGCTTATTGGATTCATCAATCTCATTCATACGTTTAGGACGGAGCCATATAACGGGGACAGACTCGTTTAGAATTTTGGGTAATTGTTCCTCCAAGCATCCCCTGTAGGTGAGTGGATATAAAAGCCATAGTTAGAGACAGACCATTTTTATACTGTGGGTCCACAACCCCCATTAATATCTATAGAATTATTATTGGTGTGAAAGAAGTTATGCCACTCATATTTTCATTACTAGTAAACATTCCACTTAAGAAAAAATATACATGTATTTTGTGGTTTAGGGATATTCTACATAACACTTGCAAGACCTAGTTGGCACACACGGGAGAAGTGAAGGAGCACATACAGGAGAAGTGGAGGAAGACATACAGGAGAAGTGGAGGAAGACATCAACATAAAAAAAGCCAAAGTGATTCTAGACATATGCTTAAAATATTTAATTGGCTAACATTGTTAAAATTTTCTTAATTTCTATTTTGATCAGACCACATTGATCAGATATTCCAATCCCTGAATGGTTCTACCACTGACTAAGTACAGCTGCCTGAATGGTGCTTCCACTAACTATAACTGCCTGAATGGTTCTACCACTAACTATAACTGCCTGAATGGTTCTACCACTAACTATAACTGCCTGAATGGTTCTACCACTAACTATAACTGCCTGAATAGTTCTACCACTGACTAACTATAACTGCCTGAATGGTTCTACCACTGACTAACTATAACTGCCTGAATAGTTCTACCACTGACTAACTATAACTGCCACATGAACCCTGCATGACTTGGCTGACAAAATTAAACAAGGACTTACTGTGTTTTGTCCCAGCGTGCACCATCCAAGAAGAGACCATAGATATATGCTCCATCATCAGGAGCCTTGGTCATTCTGTCCTGTACCAAAACCTGGAACAGATTTCAGGTGGTTTTTAGCTCCATTAATCAGATAACGCATTGCATGTACTGTCATTATTTAGATTGATGAAATTATTTTAATGTTTTTTTTACCCCCCCCCCCCTCCTCCCCGTCACATATTCTCGACCCACCCCCTCTGAGCGTGACGTAATTTGCGAATGACTCCTAAATGTGAAAATTAACTTATAAAATAGTTTTATATAGATATTTATCATGTGGTTTTTAGCTCCATTAATCAGATAACTCATTGCATGTACTGTCATTATTTAGATTGATGAAATTATTTTAATGTTTTTTTTCCCCCCCCCCCCTCCTCCCCGTCACATATTCTCGACCCACCCCCTCTGAGCGTGACGTAATTTGCGAATGACTCCTAAATGTGAAAATTAACTTATAAAATAGTTTTATATAGATATTTATCAATGATCAAACCTTGATAAACTTTTACAAGGGAAAAACGTCAGAGTCCATTTTGACCACACTCTCTACTATAATGAAATAAACTATGTTACATTCAAGATTGAATTACTTTATCTATTTAATAACTCAGGGAAATGGACACTCTTGTGAAATGCATTTTAAAAATTTACATTTTGTTTACACATTTTTAATGTGCATGGTTTTGAACTTAAAAAATGGAATATCTCAAAACAACAAATATTATTTATGTGACCCTGCCGTTTTTTCCCTTGTGGTCTTCATATACATTCAAAGGCTTTCAAAGGTTTTTTTTTATTTTTAAAAGACACAAAAAACCACAAAAAATATTTAAAAAAAACCCACAACTAAATATATTCACTCACATCAAAATCAAAGGCCAGTTTGTCAATTGGGATGGTGTATTTCCTGGCAAAGTTCTGCATCACACCCGTCAAGAAGGCTTGAGTAAAGTAGAATCCAGAAACCCAAAAATCTTCTGGCTTGCCATGGTCATACCATTGCTGAGTGGGGGTGGAAAAAAACATTTTTATGACCCCCTTTAACATCAGTAACTATGTAATTTTAATGTTTTGGAAGCTAACTAATGTACGATACCTAACCCCCCAAAAAATGATGCAAGTTTTAACTTAAAGCATTTGATATGACACTCATTTTTTTTTAAAAATGAAAGTTGAATAGATGAGGACTAATCTGCTTTGCATAACTCAAAATGAGTTACAGCCCTCGTGGAAACTTTTGTGTTTATTATAAATTTACCTGCAGGAACTTGAGACGCTCCAGGAAATCATTGATATAGCTTCCAAGGGGTTTCAGCGATGGATAGGACTGTTTGGTCCACATTGCTGGTTGTTTGCCAATGAGCAGGCTTCCTGCCAGGGCTTCTAGGTCTGCTGACATCACAACAAGACCTTTGATGGCTTTCTGAATATTCTGAAGACTTGAACGTATAATCACCAACAGCCTGTGAAGCAATGATAATTTTTTTTCTTTGTCTTTATATGTTTTACAAGGGGCACACCCAGGGTATTTGACACCTGAAAACCATTTTCTACCTTTGGTTACCATAGGTAAATATTAGGATACCGGTATTGGTTATCACCCCATGACGCTGAAATCCTTGCTGACATCTGGGAAGGGTTGTATTCTTTCTCTTTATGTCATTGTTACAGTGTCCACATTAAGCCACCCTTAATTAATTAGTCTTGAAAATTGAAAAAAAAATTACTAAATTTTATCAATGGAAATATGAGCAATTCTATATATATAGACCTCAGGTTGGCAAATTTTTTTGAAAAGGACAAAATAGTAATATTTTAGGCACTGTGGGCCAAAAGGAGCACTTACTTAATATTAAGTAAGGAAGGTGGGCTTAATTTTTTCTGGACGGCCTTAATTAGGACTCAACTCAATGGGGAAGGGGGATTTCATACTTGGAAATGCAGGGCATATGTCCCTCACGTATTTAGCATTTTAAATTAACTAAGCTATTAAAATAATGTTAATTTTCTCTTCCTCTAACAAAAAAATATTGTGGAATAATCATGTTGAAGCTTATGAGAAAAGCTTCGTGTGTAAGGTAGTATGGCAGTTCTACTTGTGTCATAAGGCGCATCAATCTCTCTAGTGTGGAGGGGGAAGATGTTTCTTAGAGGCAGGTAATCAATTTGAATTAATACGAAAACACTGTAAAAGAAAAGCTGATGAAAACATTTAATGTTCGCACCTGACATTGTGGTGCCATGTTATAGTACATTAAAATGCCTGGGCTGACATAAGTTCAAGTGTACATGTATGGGTGTCTCAAAAAGGGAGGGGGGTATTTCTAATTTAGGTTAGAGGGGCAGCAAGAAGATATAATGTTACAGTAATGTACACAGCAAGTTAAGAATTAGTCAAATCATTAAAAAAAAATTTGGGGCCTTGTCTTGTGCCACAGGCAAAAGTTTGTTGACCCCTGCTATAGAAAAATGTTATAAACAAGCTTGGTAACTTGTGAACTCCATAAGATCAGTCTCATGCAAACTTCACAACCTCTGTTACTAACCCATTCTACCAAAGGTTCGATGGCTATGTTTTGTCTGGGGGTTAATTATATTAACTTCACAAATCATTGGTTACTAGAATACAGTATATTAATTAACACAATTAAATGTCCAACTGCCATTAATCCATCACAACCACTACACAACAACAATATGTCATTTCCCATTCCCACAAAATATGTCACAAAATACTAAGCATAATTGATACAACAACACATATAATCTCTCAACAACATGCAATCACAATATACATTAAAGTCCTTAACAAACTCCCCACACAAAAAAAACAACAACCAACAAAAAACTTGAAACAAAAGTCTTACTTGTTGAATCTCTCCATCTCTTGCACCAATACAGTGTTCATGCTCTCCGAGTAGGTGACAGGATATTTTCTGATGGCCTGTTCAATGTCAAAATCTTTGGGAAGCTGCAAAGATCAAGAATATTTAATGTTGTCAGTTGGAGTTTCCAGGACAGTCACAGTGTGTTCAGAATGATCAACAAGGCATAGCATAATATGAATATCTGATACAAGGTGTAGTTCGGAAACTTCAGGGTGTATAAATGATTAAGTAAGCACTGGATTATCAAGTCTAAAATAATTAATGGGCTCATGATAGGTAAGTGAGAATAATATCATAGATTGTGATGTACCACATGAATCTTCATTTGCATGGAGACAGAATGGCAGGATATGACAGGGGATTTTAAACAGTACAAAACTTTATGCATTGCATTTATAGACAAAAAAGCAATTCAATTTCTATACAGTTGACTAGGTTCTGGTCCTGAGTCTTAAGTCAAATTATTTTCAGTGTATTTGTCAACCCAATCATTAAATTTCTATCTAGCAAAATAAACAAATTTAATTATTGTACAGTAATTAAAAATGATGTGTGGTGGGTCATCCAATTATAATATAAGACGTATATATAAATATATATACACAAATGGTGTGTGTGGTGGGTCATCCTGTTATAATATAAGATGTATTATAGACAAATGGTGTGAGAATTGAAAGACATTGAGAAACTCTCTTGGCATCAGGGGTTGACGCCTACCTTGGACAAAATGTCAGTGGCAATGTCAGCTAATGCCTCATCTGTACTTCCTCCTCCTCCCCCTTGTCCTCCCTGGGTCAGCAGAACCGAGTCAAAGAGGAGCCTGACTTCCTGGAGCTCTCGTGAAATGTCAACGTTTTCATGCATACCGAATATCTCTGGTTGTTGGGTGGGTGGAAGGTTCTGGAAAAAAAAAACACATTTGTAATCCACAATTTTCTTAAATTGATAAAAAATTTTAACCAAGAATGCTGAAAAGTATTTAATAAACAAGCCCTAGAAATAAAAATATTTACGGCATAAGGACCTACTGGCATATGTTGAACCATATTAAAATAAATCGCACAATAAAATAATTTTTGAAAATAAGTACCAGAACCCAAGAAAGAAAATAAATATATAATTTTTAATGTACAGGGAAATTGCAAAAACCAAACAAATAAAAAATCAGGAATCAGCAATTCCAAACTCCTGAAATGTAATTCAATCAATTTTAAAAAATTTGATTAAATGTAAATACAAAGTTAAATAAATAACTTTTGTCAAACATTGAAAATCCTTGCAGGAGTCGATGCTGCTGGATTTGAATTAATTCACAACCATTCAAGCTGCACAGAGTTGAGGTTCTTACTCCAGATCAAATACACACAATTTTAAAAATTCCCCATACCCCCAAAAAAATATTTGTGATGGTTACTGGAAATTTGATCGAAAGAAATTTCGTCGACGGTAAATTGATCGACCATAATTTGATCGAACGGAAATTTGGTTGAATCTTTTTTTTCCATTCGCACGTTAAAATTTTCGTCAAATTTCTTTTTGAACGCACTATACTATTTAATAAAACAAAATAATTCGTTCAAAAAGAAATCTGATGCAAAATTGGAACGTAAAAATTGAAAAGAAGATTCGACCAAATTTCTGTTCTATCATATTACCGTCGACCAATTTACCGTCAACAGAATTTCTTTCCATCAAATTTCCGGATACGATTTGTGATGGCTGTTTTTATTTAGAGTAGTAGTATTAACTTTTCTCCAGCATCATCCACAAGAATCTGAGTTATATAGTCAAAGTCATTAAATGTTTTCTCCGCAGTCCACTTAGAAGTTAGCATTGAAGATTCTAAACACAAAACTAAATAATTCATATGAAATATGTCACTAATATAAGGGCTAAAAGAAGAGACTAAGAGGAGACTGGGGTGTCTAAAAGAGAGGTGAACTACCTTGATAAACTCAACAGCTTCATTGTAGCCGGTTTTGGTTGGACAGTGGTAGTTGCCACTGGGCGAGAACTTGTATTTGGGGTCAGTGACAATGAAAGCGTTGAAAAAGTCAGCCAGGATGGTCAGCAGGCACCTCCTATCCCAGTCATCGGTGACACGGCCACCGTAGTTACATTCCCCTGTCATGTACGTGATGGCATCAAAGGGCACATCTTCATATTCATTGATAAACATCTGTGAGTGGAAGACAGGGGTTAACAATGTTATAAAATCATTTAAGCTCAGACTGACGTACCGGTACTTCCAATGGCCTAATTATTGTTATAAAAGGAATTAATTACTTAAAATCTCTCTACTAGTTCTCATTTTCTGAAAAGATTTTTCAAACTGTAACTTGGACAGGAAAAGGCTGATTTGAGAGTTCTAGGTAAGTGCAAAAAAAATTTTAATGTGTATATTAAAATGCATCATAATGTCAAGAAACATCTACCTGGAGCTGGCGTACAGAAATCCTGAGATCGGATTCATTGAATCCATATGCAATGTTCCAGCCAAGAGGACCAAACTTTCGTCTTTCTTGAACCAGGGCATGGAAGAAACAAAGGCCAAACAGCAGCTTCTCAAAGTTCTACAACATAAAATGCATGCATGGATACTTTGCGTATAAAAAAGATTAAAAAACCTTACTTGCCTGTTGCAGTTAGTATCAATTCAAAATTTTTTAACTTACAAAAAAAAAAAAGAAAAAAAAGTAATTGCTCTCAAATTGAAAGTATTTTTTTATAAGATACAGATATTAAAACTGTTATTACAATTTTTTGAAAATATTAAAACATTTCAATTCATATGACAACTTTAAAAAATATATCTAGAGTCTATATGATTTAAAAATGTATATAGAATGGGATAGTAAGTCTTTCACGTAATTATCAACTAAGTCTGAACCAGAATGACACTCACCTGCTCCTTGCCTTTACACCCTCTGAAGAAAACTTCATCACTGATTGGGTCGTTTAGGTAGCTCTGCAGCAAATTTTGTCGGAGGCCTGTAGGGGGTTCATTAGTCATCTTGACGCCATTTTGAAGGACTGTCACAGGGAACTAGAAGATCAGAATAATTTTAAAATAATGCAAATTTTTAAAATCATACATAATCGAGTGACTAATACTAATACCAGCAGTAGGTCACTCAACTGGAATACAGTATAAAGCCTCCACAAAGAGAAACTTCAGATTTAATGGAAAACACAAAGACATAACAGTAATAGTAATAGCCAACTGAATAGTGAGTAGCAATGTTATAAAGATAAGAAATTATGATAACAATGTTGACTAATGGTAAGGGGGCCATCCATAAATGATGTCACGTGTCAAGGGGGGAGAGAGAGAGGTCACAGTTTTGTGTGACGAGTCCGGGGGGGGGGGGGTAAGCAAGGTGATGTCACATAAAAATGAAGCACATTATTAAAATATTTTTTAAAAAATTGCACAGAATAACACTTAATTACAGACATTTTCTATCCTTTTATACAGCAAATATAATTACTTTATTTTTTAAACTACAATCATTGTCGTTATTACTGAGAGAATCAGTACAGGTATGAGAGGTCTGAAAAATGGCTCTGATCATGTTACAGGTCGCCACAGAGGAGGAGAAGGGGTGGTAGTGATATTGACAGTCAGGTGAATTTATGTTCAAATTTGGAGTCAGGAGTCATAGAAAAGTTATAGAAAGAAAAATGTTGTGGGGAAAAGGGGGTGGGAAAATGATATCAGTAAATGTTTTAGGAAAGGGATTCTGTAGGGCTGCATCCCCTCCCAATGTCAAAACGTTTTCTGCTCCCCCCCCCCCACCTCCTTGAAAAATTATATTGCAATAAATAATTAAGTAATTAATTTATTGTAGTTTTATTTCTTTAACTTTCTAGAAACGAGAAGAAAATGCACCAATAAAATTAGTTCTCAAACAAAATTAACCACAAGAGCATACTGCTGCTAATCAAAATGCATAAAATCTGTAGTTATTTTTTTTTAAAGGCAGCAAGAACTAGTAAGAGCAGGCAATACAATTTTCTGGGTCTGAACCCAGCAAGGCCACAGGTTACCTTGGGTGACGGGTAACTTGTCAGCCAAAGTCTGAATCCAGAGTTCGTTGTTTCTGGTGTAAACTCCTCACAGATCTTCTCGAGGGCATTCATCCACGAGACAGCTAGGTGGCAGTTTTGTAGCAGCACCCATGTCCCGTCTTCCCTGGCCTGTTTGATCATCTTCGCTGCTATGGGCCCCTGTCCAGGAGATACAATAAAAGGTCATTTACTACCAATGGAGTTTGAACAGAAAACTAAATCCATTGAAAGATTAAAAAAGAAACAACAAAAAATTAAACTACATCTCAGATTTTAAAATAAAATTGGAATAAAATTCACAGTGTGATGAGTTCAGATGAAATTCTTCAAAATAAATATTTGGCAAAAATCTTTTAAAATTTCGAATAAATACCCGATTTAATTCTTTAGCTTGTGGTGGTTTTTGGCAGATGATCAATTCTCTGCAAGCCATGACTTACCTGCCCTTGGCCAAGTGAGATGGAGTTGAATTTATTTCCCCCAAATCCCTTATCCTCTGCATACTTTAAAAGACTCATGGTAGGGTCTGCACCAGGAGACAGGATGAAAATAAGTGGAGTGCAGGAGTTTGAATCTGTGTAACTCTTGGCCAGGTCAAATGGAGGAGGCTCCACGAATTTCTTACCGAGTTTCTCCATCACAAACTCTGTGATTGCCAGTCCAATCTGTTTTGGAGGGGTGGGTGGGGAGGGGAAAAGGGGGGGGGGGGATAAAAATAATTATTAACTGAGTATTTTTCAAAACCCCCACAATTACAAACCATCATCTTTAAATATTTTTATTGCGCAACTAATTATATTATATCAAAGAAGATAAGCAGGGTACACACTTATTGGGGTGGGTGGGGAGGGGAAAAGGGGGGGGGGGATAAAAATAATTATTAACTGAGTATTTTTCAAAACCCTCACAATTACAAACCATCATCTTTAAATATTTTTATTGCGCAACTAATTATATTATATCAAAGAAGATAAGCAGGGTACACACTTATGTTGACGTCTCACCTTGTCCGGTCGAATGGTTCGAAGCAGAATCATCCTCTGAAATTCATTGAGTTTCTCGTTCCAGGGTTCAGGCGCTGGTACCTTGTGCGGTTCTTTCTCATTGTAGAATTCTTTCCATTTCTCGATGTTTTTGATGAAATCTTCCCTATGTTTTTATGGAAAAGAAAAAAGTAGAGGAATATGCCATGACTACTTTAGAGCTTTATCTGGACTTAGTTATACCTGTAACAGAATAGTTTTACCTGTAACAGGACAGTTCTACCTGTAACAGGATAGTTTTACCTGTGACAGGATGGTTGTACCTGTAACAGGATAGTCATACCTGTAACAGGATAGTCATACCTGTATTAGGATAGTTATATCTGTAACAGTGTAGTTTTTACCTGTAACAGGATATTTATACCTGTAACAGAATGATCTAGATGCTCAAGTAAGCAAACGGCTTTATTTTATTCACAAATAAATAAATTGATTACTGAAAAAATAATAATTTGGGACTAAGTGAAATTAATTTTTCCTTAGCTTTTACTGGAAATGTGAGTTCATAAGGTGATCACAAGATGGTAATCCTTGATGGAATTATTTTAAAGCTTAATGAAACGCTCTAATTTATTTGTCCTGCATTTGACTAAGTTATTTTTTAAAAGAATAATAATAAAGCTTAATTAAATGCTCTAATTTATTTGTCCTGCATTTGACTAAGTTATTTTTGAAAAGAATAATAAAAGCTGCAGGTGACAATCTATGATGCTTATTATGCCCCAAAAAATTGATGCAGTATACCAGAAACCAAAATTGCGAAATAGCATTGCATTCCGCAGAATACACACATTAATGGGTGCTATGACTTTCCCTCCACGACCTATGGCAGATTTTTCCTCTGGTCAGGCAAAATAAGTGGAGGTCTATGGTGATGGATAAAAGTGTGTGTGTGGGTTGGGGGGGGGGGGGGGGGGGGAAACAACAGGTAATTGCCAATTTTTTAAATGTGTGAAAAATGAACTTCCTAGGTTTAAATATAAAGGGGGGCAACAACAGGTAATTGCCAATTTTTTAAATGTGTGAACAATGAACTTCCTAGGTTTAAATATAAATCGTGATAACTAGCATAGTCTACCATTATAGCATTTCATTACTTTTTTTTTTTATTCCGAAAAACATGTGTTGATATTTGTAAATAATATGAGCACTGACAACCGTAATAAAATGGTATCCGTACTAGTATCCATAACCATTTTCTTTTTAAATTTCAATACTAAGGGAGATAATAAAGAATATACGAATGTTCCAACAGAAACCCCACAATTAGAGAACTTCAGAATATGCTTGTGTCTTTCAGATCACACTCAGTTTCCTAGGTTCGCTTTATTTCCAATCATGTTATTTCGATTATTGGGCCATTCCCGGAAGAACTGCAATACCGGGCCGACCCGTGGCGAGAGCGGAGCAAGCCCCGTGCATCTCGCCTAGTTCCAAAAATCAGTTTAATATCGTAGTGACTCAATGAGCCACGTATCAGATATTAAGCTGATAAGAACAGATACTACACTTTGATCTTAGCCAAAAGGCCGAGAAGCGATAACTACGATGGTGAGTTTTGGGACCCCACTTTAGCAACAAGTGAAATAAACTCATTGTTATAATTTTTTACAACTAACATTAAAGAATAATCAAAGTTAAAAGTATTCTACTTAATTTTAGAAAATAATACACTTTTAAGAATAGCGAGTACTAATATGAAAAAATTATACTCATTTCAAAAAATAATAATCAAACATATTTCGGAATTATTGTTAATTTCTTTTGTTTAATTAATTATAAGATTTATGTTCCTTGAAAGGCTAATACTAAGAATAAATTCCCTTTATTTAAAGAAATATTCTTTGCTTATTTCCCTTACCGTTTCTGTTAACTTTGAACATGTGTATAGTACCTTCCTTAGTATTGAAATTCATTATAAAAAAATACAATAATTTTTTTAATAAACTTGTTTGAATCCATGAAAGAATGATTCAAAGGGAGCTTTTGCCCCAGGGAAAGTAGTGGTGCACAAAGTTCTCATTATTGGGGGTAGGTGAAATCTCCATTTGAACTTACAAAAAGACTTGGTGCACAAATTTTGTTTAAAATGCACCCCCTCCCCATGTGATTAGAAACAACATCAAAACAACACCAATTAATATACCTAAAGCCTTTGAAGTTTTTGAGGTCACTCATTCTGCAGATTTCATCCCATGACTTGTCAATCAACCAAGTTGGGGCTGGGTTAGCTAATTTATTCTCCAAGCCAATACCACCAGTAAGGAAAAACATGTATTCTTCAAGGTTCAAATCTTTCCTGGCCCTGAGAACGGTAGGTTGTAAATATGCCAATTTTGATTCTACGAGAATTGCCCTACTTAAATAAATTCAAAATATAAATCTTTATAAAATCTTTAATAATAATAACTTGTTTCAATTTTAATTTGTCTGAGATGTGATAACTTAATGACTGCAGCATAAAAAAAGGCATATAAAAATAATGAAAATGGTGACATAATACGAGTCAATTTCTTTTTAAAAAGATACTATACATATTTGATGCTGTCTACCATCTTTTTCCAGTTAATGAATATTGGCTTGTGTTGCTTATGGTTGAAATGGGATGAAAGACTTTGACTTGGTATGCTCGTATGTAGCTTTTATATTGTTGCGTCTGTTTTTAAATGTGGTAAATTTTAGATTGTTTTTATTTCTCTTTTTTATATGGTTGACTTTGTACCACTCTTTGAGCTTTTGGGGATGAAGCGTGTTTTACAAATAAACTTTATTATTATTATTATTTCAGTTAAATGAGGATGTTCTATTTTCAAAGTTTTTCAGACCATAAATCTATACTGTTTGTATTAAATAACTATCATTTTAATAGCTTGGTAAATTAACAGCCCTTTAAAGAAGCAGGACTTTGGGTGTTATAATGTCACAATATAACAAATAATTTAAAACAAAGCACAAAAACAAAAATACAAACAAACAAAAAACAGTAAGCAAGCAATTTTTATGCAGCAAATTGGTAAGTAATTTTCACAACTTTTTCAAAGGATGATTTAAAAGTGAGTGAAACAACATATTAGTCATTTTAAGAAAACAACTTAAGTAATGAACCTTGAGGTCGCACTGGCCCCTGTTTGTTTGAAAAAAGATTTTTATTATTTTAGTTATTTGATTAAATATGTAAAAAATGTAGGAATGTCTGCCTTAGGTGGAATTCATGTGACATCCAAATGTTAAACAGTAAATTTGGAATGCTTGGGAATGTTTTTGTTTAAAAAAAAACAAAAAAAAAACAGACACTTTTCTCAAACAATGATAAAGATCTGCATCAAAATAATCTACATCTTGAATTTTTATTTTCCCACCCCCCCTATTTCCATTTCTCACATATTTAATTGCCTTAATTAAAAAAAATAATTTCCAAATAAAGAAAAAAGGAAAAAAATAAAAATTGTGCACATTTAAATTTGTTTAAAATGTTTAGTAGTTTGAAATATTTCACTTTCTATAAACAACAAACACTTATTTTATTAGAATGTGACAAAAATCTAAGGTGCCCATAAATTTGAAAAGTCTAGAATGCGAAACTAACACAAGAGCAAGATAATTTTTAACCGAAAAAAAAATCTATATTATTTAATCACCCTGATCAAGTGGTGGTAGTTAATTAAAGTTTGAATATTATTACTTTTTATTTCCAAATTTTTCCTTTTTTTTTTTTCAGTTTTAAAGAAAAATAGAAGTATTTTTTTAATAATCAGTATGGACTTCCATGTTCATTGCTTATTGTACATCTCTTATATAATTTTGTTCAAAATGTGTTAATATGTTTTACTTTTATTGTAAGCAAAATGTTATTTCTAACAGACCCATTTGAACTTCTAAGAGGAAAGAAAGTCAGTCTTCAAGCCACACATTAATCATGCTTAGCTTTGACGAGCTTTTATCCATGATCATGAGTCTTTAAATATTCAAGTCTTAGCTTTAATTCGTAGACCCATTTAATGAATATATGTGCATATATAAACATGAGCGTTTTTATGGGACCAAAGTATTAAACACATTTAATATAAATGGGATCTAAATGAATTATTCTTCTTTATATGGAGATGTGCACCATATTGTATACAGAAACACTGAATTAGCAATGTCCTTTAGTTTTAGCATTAAGATTTCTTATTTTACCTAAATAAATATTGATAGGCCATTAAACACTTTGGAGAGTTGTTAAATGTATAAATTATTTTTTTAGTGTTAAGATGTCAAGAAAAAATAGTAAAAAAGTTCAAAGTTATGAATATCGTTTTCCCGAAGCTTTTTTTTTTTTTTTTTTTTTTTTTTTTTTTTTTTTGCATTTTTTTTGTGTTGGCAATTTTTTCAGAGAAGCAAGCAGAGGAGAGCAGTGGATGGTCATAGTGAGTCTATCCAATGGGGATTGCAAAAAATATAAGCCATGCTCATCAAGCTCAAATATATAACTAGAGATGATGATCATGAATAAAAGCATCGATTAGCAGCAACACTTTGAAAAATAATCAAACTGGCAGAAAATCAACATGGACTATGTCAGCAGGGACTAGGAATTCAAGCTTGACAAAAATCAGTTTGACTTAATGTGCCATTACTTTTTTTCTCCCTTTTTTGTCCTCTCTTGAATAACCTCTCAATTATCAAAAAGATTTACTGAGAATCATTACTTTTTTTTTCTTGAAATCTTACGGAAACAATATATCTAAACTATTTGATTATTTAAATAAATATATTTTATCAGTATTATCACATAATTTTAAAAAATGGTTATTTCATATAAAGAACTACTTTAAACCTAGCCAATATTTGGCTGGCATAGTCCATATGTATTGGCAGAGATGATTGTTAACCTTTTAACAAAATATATTTGAAAACCCTTTTATCATAACCTTTTTTTTTTTACACTTTGAATTAAACCTCCCCACATTGGTATGGACCAAAGGTTAAAAATCACCATTATGTTGCACAAACTCAGCCATCATCAAACCTGCTACTTTGACATACTTACAGAAGGATGTTTGTACAAAGAATGAAAGAAAACAACAGTTTATCTTTCTCAAAGAGAGAGCGACAGACATTGCAGTACAGGTTATAGGTGAAGTGGTCAGAAAGGTAACGGAGTCGCCTCTCCACAATTTTTGATTTGTTGCTGGAAAAATTGAAATACAAAGAAACTAACCATTAAATTTTTTTTAAAAAGGATGAAAAAAAAACAAGAATAAGTCCATTTAGAATATGTGAGGGCAGTTGTCATCATAAAGTTGAATCTGAAATGAAAGACTTTTATTAAATGTTAACAGGATGAATCCTCCGCAAAGCCAACTCAAAGTGTGCTGAAAAAGAAAGCATGCATTGAGTCATGGAAGGACAAGTCATAAAATCGTTTGTGACTTACATCTGCAGGTTCGCACACAGAAGGAATGAGAAGACCAGCTTGTGTTTGGCCAGCAGTGACCTGGCCACATTGTCGTACAACTGCAGAGTGAAATGGTCACTCAGATAGCGCAGACGGCGCTCTATAATCTTTGACTTATTACTGTAGGGATAATGAACAACGTTTTTATAACAAGTTTGGGGGAGACAAAAAAAATAACAGCTAAAACCATTTGATTTTTTGTTGTTGATATTTCCCTTTAGAGATCACAGTGTTTTAGTTGATCTATTGCTTAGCACTTAATGTATTAAATTCAGGATTAAAAGAGTAAAAAAGTTCAAATGGAGTGAATGGATGGAAATGACCAGCTCTTTACACTTACTACCAGTAGAAGCAGGTAAGGCATTTAAATTTCCATCATAGTTATCTGATACTCCATTCATATAAATTCTTTGCTGGCAATCTGTCAGGTTAATTATTAATTGATAGTTATCTGGCCAACTTTGAGAGGCTGAATTTTGAGGCTAATAAGTTTTCAAATAAAACATGATGATATTAATGTAAATAGACATTAAAAAAAATACTATGATAAAAAATGTATGCTTTTGAAATTGGTATTCATACTTAAGGGCTAGGGCTGAATATTTAAATTGAAAAATTAAAATGTATAATGAGAAGATTTTAAAAAATAATGTTCATCTTCATTCAATTTTATGAAATTGACATTTTAAATTAAGGATCTCCTAACTGAACAAATCTATTTCCATCAGACATACCTGTCTTGAATGCTCATGATGAACAAGTTGACAAACCAGGTCAGAGAGTACTGGTACATGGGGTCAATGTTCGGCAGGTCAGTTATAGAGAAGAACAGCGTTGAAGAGTGCTTGGCTATCGGTCGATATCCAACACGAGAGGACTCAATCTTCTTCTCAGTTTCGTCAGCCACCTGTCACAATCACATGTTTATGTTAGAACTTCCTTTCAACAGAAAATTCACATGACATTAAAACTGAAGTTGCTGGTTACATGTAAATAACACTGAAAAAATGTTATTTCTTGCCATTTGATTGCTCTTTATTACTACCATAATAAATAACCAATATCTGTTTATACAATACCTGTACATAATAATAATAATTACTGTTGGTATTATTGACTGTAAGTACCGGCAACTACAGTTTTTAAAAACAGACACAAAATATATACCTTCTGCTTCTTGGAGATTTCATCTGAGAGAACTTTGGAAGAGTCCAGTACTTGGATGGCCTGTTCATCTTCTAGAATGTTCCCTTCAGAGGCTGAGAGTGTGTGCAGAATCTTATCCTCTATCTCTTTCAGCTGTCTCTTGTTGGTGGCACTAGTGACAATCAAGGCTTGGCGCTCTTCCTCCAGTTCTGGTCTGTACATTAAGGAGTTGTGTTCAGGGTTATTTTGGATGTGTTGGTCAGTTGGATGGTCAGTTATAATCATGATGTGTTGTTGAGTTGAATGGTCAGTTATAATCATGATGTGTTGGTGAGTTGAATGGTCAGTTATAATCATGATGTGTTGGTGAGTGGAATGGTCAGTTATAATCATGATGTGTTGGTGAGTTGAATGGTCAGTTATAATCATGATGTGTTGGTGAGTTGAATGGTCAGTTATAAGGATGATGTGTTTGTGAGTTGAAAGGTCAGTTATAATCATAAAGTGTTGGTGAGTGGAATGGTCAGTTATAATCATAAAGTGTAGGTGAGTTGAATGGTCAGTTATAATCATGATTGTTATGCACTGTGGCTTCTCTTGTGAGAAATTAATCTCTTATTTTGAATTGTATGGCTCGTTCAAACAGTGCCTAACAAAGGACGATACCACAGAAATACGATAATAAAGATATGACACCCAAAACAGTTGCCAGTTACAATTAATAAGATTTAAGTTAGTAATAATACAATTATAAAATAAAAGAAATATAATTACAAATCATCAACTTACAGTATGGTATATCTTGTACCGGTACACAGTTAGTACAATGTGCCAATGAATAATGATGAATGATCAATGCGAATAAACACATATAAGCACACAAAGAATAATACACATCTCGTGAAGGTAAAAATATCTATCTGAATCTCCCTCTCTACGTATCTGTCACTCCTTTATATACATGTAGCATAAGATGCTTCCAGAAAAGAATTATGTGTTGTTTACATTTCTCGGGTTATTGAGAAGATTCGACAAGATACCAGGAGACATACTAACCATGTTTATTTGGTAAACACGACAGATAAAAAAAACTAGCCTCGCCCACAACAAACGCTACCGTCTGCTAGGGATCTAATGTGGGGTGAAACAAAGGTCAAGCACGGGGAAAAAAGTGTACTACAAAACAATGATGTTTTGGTGATTTGAATGGTCAGTTATAATCATTTGTTAGTGATTTGAATGGTCAGTTATAATCATTTGTTGGTGAGTTGAATGGTCAGTTATAATCATTTGTTGGTGATTTGAATGGTCAGTTATAATCATTTGTTGGTGAGTTGAATGGTCAGTTATAATCATGAGGAGCATTTGATAATCTGTCTACAGTTTATGATATATGACAAGAACTAGCACAACATAGTCTACAAGCCCTGTCACCTAGTGACATCATAAGACAAGACCTACTATGACCGCCCATGACCTTATAAGACCTACCAAGAACTACCAAGACCTACCATGAACTACCAAGACTATCAAGACCTACCTTGACTACCAAGATCCATCATGGACTATCAAGAGCGACCTATCATGAATTATTAAGACCTACCAAAAACTAAAAGACCTGGCATGACTACCAATACATAACAAGACATACCATAAGCAACCATGACTACAAAGACCTACCAAGATCTACCTTGATTACAATACCTACTATGATTGCCAAGACCTACCATGACCTGCCAGTATCTACCATGACTACCAAGACTGAGAAATATCTAACATGACTACCAAGACTGACCACTACCTACCATGACCATCATGACCTAATAAGACCTACCATGACCTACCAAGACCTACCAATGACCCACCACTGCCACACCATGACCTAACCACTACCTACCTCTCTTTGGCTACAACAATCCCTAGGAGCTGATCTTCCAGTCCCTCTGGTGTTATCATGAAGTTGAGCAGTGAAACTTTGGTTGATAGCTCTGGTAGGTAGTGTGGGTTACGTAACTTTGTTGTGATATAGAAACGGAAGTCCTGGCTGTACTCTATGATGTTGTCTCCCAGTCGAATCATCTCAACACCAGCTGGATTAGTGATTAAAAAAAAATTGGTAGTAGTTAAAAAGCACAAATGTCTTGTATCTAGTCAGACACACAAAATGTTAAAATAATGATAGATAGTTTATGGAACAATCAAGTCATTGGAAAAATTGCATTTGTATTATTTTTTGTGTAAACCTGATTATACAAAATTAAATTATTAATCCAAGCTAATCCTAACCAAAAAATATGCCATATAAAAATGTTTCGGCTTAAGTAAGATGATTATTTATGGTTTTGTAGTAAAACTCAAATTTCAATGAAAACTAAAACACATTTTTTAAAGGGAACTTTTCTTCACAAATTTACTGTCATTAAAATTAAAACCAACAATCCATGCTCCCTGTGACGTGGAAAACAGCACCATTTTTACTAGACTAAATTAATTTTGCTTGATACAAGTGTTGAAATGTTTTAAATTGTGACCAATCAAAAAAAAAAAAGTGATTTATTTATAAACAAATAAAATGATGGATTAATTTAAATTCTCCATAAAGGTAATTTAATGTGATACGACAATAAAATATGTGATTTTTTTTGTTTTCCACTAATAGGAGAATCCGGCAGCGATTTTGCATTCTTGCAGCATCCATAAAAACCAAGTGAGTGAGCACTAACTCACCAGTAGTTGGCCTGCCTTTCACAGCTTTGCATTGGGATAAAAATATTAAATATGAAGGCACAAAACAAAACATGAATCCAGCAACTTAAACATAGCATCCATCCATCAGCTGCTTCCTTCAGTCCCGGAGCAGGGAGCAGCTCTTTGCGTGATATGAATAGATTACAGTTATGTCGTTATTAAAAAATGAATTTCTTTTTGCTAATCTGTAATTCCATTTAAACAAATTTTCTTAGCAGCTTTAATTTGTATAAATGTCTCTTTGACAGTTTGCAGTCACTTGACTTACCATCAATTTAAACATTGTACAACTCATTTTCAACACTAGCTGGAAAAATTAAAGCTTTACGTTGCAAGTAAGAATAAAAAAAAAATTTTTTTTAACAGGGCTCAGGATAAATTACATTGGGATGTTCACATTTCACATTTTTACCCTTAGTGCTAAGCACAACCATCACTCTGTAAACACCTCACAATCCCCGGATGATACCTCAAAAAACAACCAACAGCATGGAAACACCTCAAAGCACAGCCAACACCCTGTAAACACCAAGCTAAACTTTTATTCCATCCCACCCCAGTGCAATGCCTGGGGAAAACCTACACCTACCAAACCCCCACCCCAGTGCAATGCCTGGGGAAAACCCATACCTACCAAACCCCCAACCCAACCCAGGCAATACTCCCCCCACAAATGTCCTACAAAACAATCATCAACTTGATGAACTCACATTGTTTAAATGTCTGTTTGAGAAGTAAAGGTTCCAATGAAGGATCCAGTTCCTCCCCGACATTCTCCAACAGCAGCGGATTACCAAAGGTGACACAGTTCTCTAGCGTCCGCATGTAGTCAGCGTCTGACAGCTTGATGACTGAAAGGGTGTTGTCCTTCTCAGAGTTCTTTACCCAGCGATTAGCCTGACCCTGAGGGTCTATCATCAATGGCCTATAATATAATTTTTGAGAAATTATTCTCAATTCATGGTAGTTTAACAGCACTAGCAATTCAAAGATAATTGCCAGAAGGGCATTATAAAACAAATAGGTCCCTTTTTTTAAATGTTTTTTTTTTTAATCTGAAAAAAAAAAAAAAATTTAAAAAATTATTCTCAATTCATGGTAGTTTAACAGCACTAGCAATTCAAAGATAATTGCCAGAAGGGTATTATAAAACAAATAGGTCCCTTTTTTTAAATGTTTTTTTTTTTTAATCTGAAAAAAAAAAAAAATTTAAAAGATGAGGGCCTTAAGCCCTGGTATCCCCTACCCACTTTTCAACACTGCCACAATATTTAGAAGGCTGCCAAGTTTCTAAAAGAATGCATATTAAGTATTAATATTTTTTAGTTTTAGTTACCATCTTCTTGAGTTGGCAACAATGACACCATTGTCCACAGAGAAGCTGTCTTTTGGCAGACCAGCAATATTCCATGCCTGGATTTTGATTGGCTCTCCAAGAGTTTTGCTAAGAGAAAACTCTGCTGAACATGGGATCTTCTTGGACTGGAATAAGAAGATAACATTAGCTATGTCGCCTGCCTCTCAAACAAGGGAAGGTGGGGTTTGAATTGGCCAGCGGTCACCCCCACCACCACACCTACCACCACAGCGACCATTGCCCCAACCACCATATTTACCACCACAGCAACAATGACCCCCACCATAGCACCTACCACCACAGTGACCATTACCCCCACCATAGCCCCTACCACCAAAGTGACTATTACCCCCACCATAGCACCTACCACCACAGTGACCATTACCCCCACCATAGCACCTACCACCACAGTGACCATTACCCCCACCATAGCCCCTACCACCACAGTGACCATTACCCCCACCATAGCCCCTACCACCACAGTGACCATTACCCCCACCATAGCCCCTATCACCACAGTGACTATTACCCCCACCATAGCACCTAACCACCAAAGTGACCATTACCCCCACCATAGCACCTACCAACACAGTGACCATTACCCCCACCATAGCATCTACCACCAAAGTGACCATTACCCCCACCATAGGCCCTACCACCACAGTGACAATTACACCCACCATAGCCCCTACCACCACAGTGACCATTACCCCCACCATAGCCCCTACCACCACAGTGACCATTACCCCCACCATAGCCCCTACCACCAAAGTGACCATTACCCCCACCATAGCTCCTACCACCACAGTGACCATTACTCCCACCATAGCATCTACCACCACAGTGACCTTGGGGAGGAGATAAATATTGAGGTTAAAAAACCAGGAGATAAAATTTATTGCTAGCAAAATACTTAAATACTGGAACATATCCACACAGAACATAATAAAACACAAAATCACTGTAATTTTAACTGGCAGAGAAAATCCCTGACAGACAAGTAAATTCATGACAAACAAAAATGGCATTTTAAGAACTGTGTATTAGCCAATGTAATTTTGCATTTCCAGATTTGGAATTCAGCTATGTGTTTCTTTACCTGGCAAAGTTTGATCCATTGAGACGTTTCTGAGTCCCTGAATGAGCGTGTGAATGGCCCCAGGTAAGCTATAACACCTGCCGAGATCAGGACATCCCCCATCAGGTTGTCATAGATATTCTGAAGGTTGGCTGCAGCGTTGGTCCACCTCTCCTTCTCTCCTCCCAGGCCTCCAATCAGCTTTTCAGCTCTCACCAGCTTTTTACCACAAAGGTCCACCTAATGGAAGATTGATTAAAATATACCTTGAGTAATCTTTGAGGCATTTTGCCCCACAGCCCACCCCATGGCAGACAAATAAAAAAAATAACGTTAAAGAAATGTGAGCATCACATTGAATTTAAAATATACCAACACCTTTCTGAAGAAACATATTGCGTCTATGAGAAGCCTGACAAAGATAAAACCCAGTTTGTCAAAAACCTCACATAAAAAGTCTATAAGCTTAAAAAAAAAACTCTAGTTAAGAAATCAATGTTAACAGCACCTGAAACTCCAGCTGCTGCTTCTTATCCGTCATGTCTTTGAATGTGTTTTTTAGGTCTTCCAGTTTCTTCTGAACAGCAGCAAGCTCCGCTCGTTTAGCATTGAGTTTGTCCATCATCTTCGACAGCTCTTCTTCTGCCTCCTTCAGTTTCTCCTTCTTGGGGGCGACAACCTTTGCCACTCTGTCATAAACCTCAAGGGCCAGAATCCACTTGCACAGACCTGAAGACAGGACAGAGTTGCTGAATTAATTTGTGTGTTTAATTCATTTATAAAAAATGCGTTTTTTTAAAACTAACTCTTTATAACTCTTCAAGTTGTAAATATTTACATTAAGACATTAGGTTTTAAAACAGCATTTTTCAACTTCCCTGTATCATCTTTTCTCAGCTAAAGCTTCTTCTGAGAGATGAATTCTCACTGTTGAGCATTGTTTCTCAAAATGAAAGACTTTATAAAATTGTCAAAATATTAGCTCTAGAAAATGAGCTGGCAAACACAATTAGATAATTAGAAATTCCCACAAGATCATGTTCCCAAAATACAACAAGTAGTCCACACCTTCAGCAGCAGAAGACGCATTGGCCACAATTTCTGGCTTAAAGTTAGGATTGGTCATGTACTCTTCTCTGATCTTTTTCATGATGCTCACAGGGATGTTGTCTTTGTCGTACTCCAGCAGTGACGACAGGAAGTTCATGTCACCCAGGAGTTTCTTACTAGGTCCCCAGTAATCATTCATCTAAAAGAAGAAGAAAAAAAAAGTCACAGTATGTTTAAAAACTAGAATTATATAGCTTGTTACCTGTTTCAAAAAGAGCTGTTACTATATTTACTAGAATTACATTTTAAAAAATGCCTCTTGGTTTCATAGAATTATTTTACATATAAACTTATAATAATATACAAGGATGGCAAAATCCTGATATAAGTCATGATCTATCTAAGAATATTTATATCTTTTGTTCTGATAACATTGTTTAGAAAGGATGTTGTCAGAATCAAATCAAAGAGCACACAGGCTAGATATCTTTTTTTTAAAATAACTTATTTACTTAGAGCATTTGGCATGAACCAAAGATGAAAAATATTAAAGTTTAAAAAAAAAAAATGTTTAAAGAATAAAAATTATTCAATTAAAAGACAGCAGATGTAGAGCAGTTTCATATGATGAGCTCTCTTACCTTCTGTCCTGGTTTGTCAGGATTGTTGACCTTATCAGGTTTGATGTCTTTCATGACACAGACAGCGGCCATGACAAGCCTGACACCCGCCGGTGGGTTGTTCATGGACTTCACAATGGTTATATCTGCCGGCTGTAGACAGTGTCAGGGATGGGATTCAAATAACATGGTAACAAAAGTTCAGATTTTCAAGAAATTAGTTACTCAAAATTTGGTTTTAATTATATGCTTAATGCATTATTTTTTAATAATTTAAGTTTTATTTCTTTAAACAGAAAGAGACCAGAAGAATTTAATATTTTTTTCACGGCTTTTGATGGAGAAATAGAACACTTTTTTTGGTCGAAATTGTTGGTCTGTCACTGTGATAATTCAGATTTTAATTGTCAGATATTGAAAAAGATTATGTGCCAACAGAACAGCAGACTGACTTTGAGTGTGTTGAGGGCAGCGATGGCCATCTCAAGGGCTGGGATAGCTTCAGCCAGCTGAGCCTCGCAGTCATCCTTCAGAGCCTGGGCCTGGGAAGCACTCTCATTGGCTACAGCCTCGTCGGCCTTGACCTTCTCCGTTGTCTTCTCCACATCCGCTGAATCCACCTCAATAACTTTGAGCATTTTCTCATTCTCTGCGGCAGACACCACCAGCTGGGGCTGCAGCTCTTCCAGCTCCTTCTGCATGGTGGCCACCTGTAAGGTTAACAAGTCAGGAGATCAGACACTGGCTTTAAACAGGGATCCTCAATCAGTGTGAGTTAAATCCAGCCCATATTACAAATTAAAATTTTACTTTTGTTTACTTGGTAGCCTACAAGTTAGGGGAGAAGGGTGGGGGGCAGCACCTGGCCACCTTCTTCAATTCGTTTTTGTATCAATCAATTTCTTTTTTTTTTTTTAAACTGTTATAGTTAATTTTGGTTTTACATGGCAAAAATATCTGGCTGAAGTTGGAAGTAATCGCAATCTAAATGTAAAAAAATGTTATTATACACAGAGGCTGTAATTTTGTCAATAAAAGTGACAGCTGCCTGAAAAATTTAACAAGAAGAAAATTTATTTGGCCAACGACTGTAATTTATGTATATATTTTTACCTGAGAGGCGGCAAAGGCTAACTTCTCAAGTCCAGTGAGATATCTCTGCTTTGCCTTCATGGTCTCATCTTGTTTCTTCTGCAGCAGGTTCTTGAAAGAGTTTATCAGCTCCAGGTAGGATGTTGGGGTGACATAGTTATGCCGACCTAGTTCTTGGAGGAATCTATTTATAAAACAGAAATTCCTCTGTGCTTCATTTCATTTTGCAAATATTACTTACATCAACGAAAACATATCGAAACATTTCTACCCGCAAATATAACCCTATGGCTAATTCCACTTTGTCATTGGATAGTTCATCATATTCACAATGTAATGTCTTGGTCCTTCACAACAAAATAACAGATATAATTTTTTTGGGATAATAATTTTTTTAAAAGTGAACTCAAAAGCTTCTACGATATCTTCAGCAGCCATCTATCTCTTCCTTAAACAATCACACACTACTTCTAACATACTAATACGTTTGTCAGCAAAAACAATATCAATTGTGGAGTCTTTTCAGTAGAGGTGCAATAATTTAAAAAGTAAAGCTTTTGACTAAGGACATTGTTACATGTCAAGGTGACGCTAAGGTATTAGTTTTTGCACGTTGAATAATTAACCCATTTTGAAGTAAATAATGTAATATCCCTGAAAACACTACTCAATTTTAAAAAATGGTGTTAAAAATGGTGTTAAAAATGGTGTTAAAAATGGTGTTAAAAATGGTGTTAAAATGGTGTACACATAAAACTTTCCTTATCAACATTATTTTTTTTATTTGCAAACAGCTCGAAGGAAAACATGGCTTGATGAAGAAAAGAAAATCTATGGACACAGTAAATGGATGCTACAGACCTCTCAGAAAGGTCCCTGACACTCTGGTGGAAGGTCTTACAGATGTTGACAACTTCCACCTTCTCCTTGTCTTCAATATCAGCCTCTTCCAGGAACTTGTTGGCCACCCTCATCAAGGCATCATCTGGCCAGGCCTGGACAGTAAGTACAAGACATCATTGTCATTCGTTAAAGCATATTTTTTTAGGCTTACACTCTCAGCACAAGACGTTATCATTAATTAATGTCCTTTGGCCTTCAAAACCAGTAATGGAATATTGTTATTAATTAAACCATATCCTTTGGGCCTCCACAATTGATGCAAGACATTGTCATTATTTAAATCAAATACTACATAACTATAAAATCAAGATTTGTTATGGTCATTCAATAAAACATATCCTAAAAGTGTCTTTTATTTCATAAAATTCTATGACACTTTTAATTACTACATACACTATTCATATCAACCACTTCACACAAAAATGTATCATTGCATTGCATACATTACAGACTCAGATAAACTGATTAGTTTTCAAACTCTATGCTCAAAACAAGGTTTCTTTTGAAGCCACTTTGGAAAGCATCAACTAATAATTTTTTTTTATTAATACAGTGTGATTAAGATTATTTTTGTGTTATATTAATAGAATTCTCAAACATTTAAGACATGAAAATTGTCATACAGTTTTCTTTAAATTGCAGAAATCTTTGTACACTTAAAATTTTAATATCTATGCTGCTTGTTGCTCACCTGAAACCAGTCAATGGTACAACAGTTAATCAAGGATGGGAACTGACGAAGCCTATTACGGAAAGCATCTCCGATGGGGCTGAAGGCGATGATAATGTGGAGGTTTTCTCTGCAACGGTTCACAAAGAAGGCAAACAGTGCCAAGGGAGAGAAGTCTGCATTCTTGTTTCCGGCTTGTGCAACTGGTCTAACAGCCTGAATAAGAAACAATGATTTTTTTTTTGTGTACTTGCAAGATGGAGGCATTTTAAGAAATAGGCATTCATGTCAAGATGGAAGCATTCATTGGCAAAACGGAGGCATTAATTGCAAGATGGAGGCATTTCAAGATGGAAGCATTCATTGGCAAGATGGGAGCTTTCATGGCAAGAAGGAGACATTCATTGGCAAGATGGAGGCATTAATTGCAAGATGGAGGCATTAATTTCAAAATTGAGGCTTTAAATTGCAAATTGATGGCTTTAAATTGCAAATTGATTCTGATCATTTAAAAAATGTATTCTCAAACTCTGATTTCATGATTTTAAAACATACTTGGGGTAAAATACTTGTGGCAGATCTAAACATATTTTTAAATTGCTTTATTTTTAAAAATTAATACTTAGGTGTGTAATGTATTGACAAGAATGTATTTCCCATCAATACTCCCTGAGTATTAACCAATCCAATAAATTAGGTCAACACCATGGGCGCCCGCAGGGTGGGCAAGGGCTTGCCCCCCCCCCCCCCCCCCCATGGGATCAAAAAAAAAAAACAAAAAAAACAAAAAAAAAAATAAAAAAAAAAAAAAAAAAAAAAAAATAAAATGTATTAAAGTAAAGAGAAAATAAAGAGAAATTAACTAAGCTGATGTCCTGTCCGTTCGTTAACCATACAAATACGCTACAGTAAATTAAAACTACATTAAAACATTACTAAAAAATCCCCCCCCCCACCCCGCTAATCGATTTTTTTTGCCCCCCCCCCCTAGAAAGTTTTCTGCGGGCGCCCATGGTCTACACACATATTTAATCCCGAAAAAAGAAAAGTTACTGAGATCTATGCATGAAAGTATTGTACCTCCATGATCTCGGCCTTCTCATCTGCAGCAAACAAATTTGGAACCTCTCCTGTGTTGAGGAGGGAGTCAATGTCCTCAAGGAAGGACTCCTGCTTTATCTGGGTGTCTGTGATTAGGAATACAGTTGTCTTTCCCTGTCCTCCGGCTGCATTCAGCACACTCTGTTGAATATGCGTGTGTAAGTGGTAAGCCTTTAGTCATAGTCATACCAGGAATATATTTTTAGATAGCTAAATAATGGTTGGTAGGGCCATACAACTTTGATTTAATTTTTTTAAAAAAATAACAATAGAAAAATATGCTTCATCTTTGAAACAATAGAAAAACATGGCATAAGATGATTTAATTCATTGAAATAGAAAAAATTTTAATAATAAAATTATATTCCGTTAAATGTAAGATCATTTAAGCTTTTAAAGTCCTAATGAATTATTTCATTGGTATGTCATGTATTTGCATGAACAACTGAGGCGGCCCTCATACCTTGATGTCTTCCCGCCACTCGTTGGTCCCATAGTTCTTGGATATCTCTGGCTGAAACAGGTTATGGCCAGCCATGGCTGTAGCCAGCCGGGTCAAGGACTGCCTGCCACTGCCACCTACACCAACCAGCATGCCATTACCTCCGGGCTGTCGCAAGATACGACAGATACGTGACAGGTGCTCCAAGACATACCTGGAAAAAAACACACCTTTTTATAGCATATCTTAGAGTATTATTGCAGAGATTTAAAACTAGTATCTACTTATCTACACGTGAAGTAAATAATCTAATAGCAAATATACAAAACTAAAGCACAATTGGTTGATCCAAAATCACTTCCTGCACAATTGTGTATCGAACATGATTTCAAACAGAAATTTGAAAAAGACTCCATTTAGTCAGAAATGCCAGCAGCACCATATCTACAATATGATTTGGTGATGCTAGTGTTGTGTGGTTGTATATCTAGAATATGGTGCGGTGATTCCTAGTGTTGTGTGGTTGTATATCTAGAATATGGTGTGGTGATTCCTAGTGTTGTGCGGTTGTATATCTACAGTATGATTTAGTGATGCCTAGTGTTGTGTGGTTGTATATCTACAGTATGATTTGCTGATGCCTAGTGTTGTGTGTTTTATATCTAGAATATGGTGTGGTGATTCCTAGTGTTGTGTAGTTGTATATCTACAATTCAGCATAGTGTAGTTTGATTGGAAAGCTGCATATATTCCTTATACAAACAAAATATACATTTCAGGACACTTTCAGAGTCACTTATATTCAGGTGATTCCTACTGACATTCCATTATATGAATCGACTGACCAGCTGATCAAATCCTAGAAGATAATACAAAGACTGACCTGAAGATGACCAGGTTCATGGCATTCTTGTGCGTGTTGTTGTACTCCTCCAGACAGACCCCAACCACATTGTAGAACTCGTCCAGTGAGCCGACCTCCTTGTACACTCTGTCCTCTGGCATGGCATCTGTGTCCATGTAGTCCCCGAACATCAAACTGCGCAAGTCTTCCTCCTGAACCTGTCACATACAGAAAAACACAATTTTGTTTAGGATCAATAAGATCTGAATTCGGTATTCATATAATTTTTTTTCTTTACTGCTGAAACTTACCATATTTTTAAAGGTGTTTTTAATTAATACATGTGAAACACTTATAACGTTCTTTGAGATCAACACCTTGCATACTGACCAAAATGTCAACATCTGGCTGCACTGTCAAACAGTGAATGTAAAACTGAGAATGGTGACATTACTTGTACAAATTACTCTGAGAGTTACTCACCCTTCCCCCTTGGCCACCACTTGCCAGATTGACAAACAAGCCATCCATGCTCTCTTTAAACTGATCCTTGAGTAAACTGGCCGCTGTCCTGTTGGAGTGGAGGTTCAATAAATCAAAGACAGAAGTGTCATTGGGTTTTATGGAATGCTGGGCAAAAAAAAAACCCCCTCGCCCATACAAACTTTTTTTAGAGCAATTCTTCAAATATAGAGATAAAATTGTGGATCATTTTTATTATTCTTTTTGATGTCAACAAGTATTATCAATATTTAACAAATACTTACTTAAACAGCCATGCTCTGTCAGAGTCATCAACCAGGCGGTCATAGAAAACTCTCATGACCTCATGTACCCAAAGTCTGCGGGGTCAAAAGCATTTTTAATGTTTAAAAATAATTGTTTTTATCTGCTTTTCATAGCTGTATCTACCACAACGGCCAGACAACACTAACACCCACTATGGCTGAAGCTGGTGGATCAGGATGATTATTTTTGTAAATTTTGACTTAATGGATTAAATCACACAACCCATGTCTTCTGACGTTTCACAAAGAACAATTTAAATTGGGGGTTGACCTTACTTGATTAGAGTTTTCTTATCCTGCACTTGGTCTTTCTTGATGAGACAGACTCCGAGAATGACACGAGAGAAGTCTCGCAGGTTGAAGATGTAGTGTGACTTAGCCGGGGTTGGCAGCAAACTTTTCATGGCCTCCTTGTACATTTCCATTGTTGCACCCACAATTGTTGTACCAATGGCAAAGTAGTCAGAGGAGAACTCTTGTTGCTGTGAGGGAATTTTAAAAATGGTAAATGGTTATTTCAAAACTGTAACACATCTACTCTGACATGGCGTGGGAGCTTATTTCTTATGCTGTGGGTTATGTCAGTAGTATGGTTACTTATGTTATGTTGATATTTCAGGATGCCGACTAAGACTTCTTCATTCTTCCACTTATAATCCGGGCACGCAAATAAGAATACTGAATCCTGGTTAAACTTACAGTACTTTATTGAACACACTTTATATTGATAATATTAATAAATAATCCTTGCATGAATGTAATTTCACATATATATCTATAGTATTCCATCATTAAGAAAGACACGTCCTCACACTACTGTCAACTCAGCTCAACTCTCTAATCACACAGCTCTCACGCTGCTCTATGCTCAGCTCTCACTATATCAGTCAACTCATACTTTTTTATCAGCCAAGCGTGGAAAACAACCGCTCTGACAAAAACATAATTTTACTCTCCAAAAACGTGGAGTTCACATTTGCATCTCAAAATACATGGTCAACACAATTCACTGTTCACTCATGCTACCTCTCTGTTTTCATGTGAAAACATAGTCCGTTACATTCCCCACCCATCTGAAAAAATTTTGTGCAACAAAATTTTTGGCATTATATGTTGAAATAATGATAATGTCTCTTAGAAAATTTCAATGCCACATCTAACAATCAAATCAGTGTAACAACATTAACATTTCATCATTATGAAATACAGGGCCTTTTACTAGTGAATAATTTACCCTGGCAAAAAATTACAAAATCACCAATGACAACCTCTTAAAATCTTTATGTATGATAATGTGAAGTGACATTGACATCTTAATGAATAATAAACACTGCAAAATGAATGTAACAATCTTAAATTTTGCATTAGAAAATTTACAATTGGTTAAAATCTGATATTCATTTACAAAAATTGATATGTACAAGTGTCTTATCAAAAAACTGAGTGAACGTATGTGTGTATATTCATTTAGAATGTCTGACTAATGTGTCTTAAGTCAGTGTCTTTGTCATTGTCTGCATGTTCAATGTGTCTGGAAAGGAAATCAGCTACTGTATTGTCTTTTCCTTTTATTGTCCTTATCTCATACTGATAATCTAATAGTATCAACGACCATCTGTTTATTTTACTGTTTGCTATCTTCTTTCTATTTAGTGCCATTAATGGCTTGTGATCAGTCAATAATATAAATTTTCTGCCCAATAGATATTTCTGTAGTTTGGTAAGTGCCCACACAATTGCTAAGCATTCTTTTTCAATAGTTGAGTAGTTAATTTCAGTTCTGCTTAGTGCTCTACTTAAATAGGTAATTGGTCTTAATTTATGATTGTATTCTTGCATAAGGCAAGCTCCTAATCCAATGTTGGAGGCGTCTGTAACTAGAGTGAAAGACTGTTTAAAATTGGGTGATAACAATATGTTGTCACTTTGGAAAATTTCTTTGATTGTTCTCAGTGTATTTTCGCATTCATCCGTCCATACTATTTGTTTCTTGCTATCTTTATTTATTAGTTTCCTTAAGGGTAGTGTAACATCAGAAAATTTTGGAACAAAAGTGCTGTAAAAATTGCACAAACCTAAAATGGCTTTTACTTCTTTCTGAGTGTGTGGTGTTTTTATATTTAGTATTTTTCCTCTGTTGTGTTCTGTGGGCTGAATAGTGTTCTTACCGACTTTAAATCCTAAAAATTCAATGTCCTCTTGTGCAAACTTTAATTTGTTTGGTGCTATTGTAACTCCATGTGCTCTTAATTTGTTTAGTACTGTTTTTATAGTCTCTATATGTGTCTTCATATCCTTAGTGTGAATGCAGATATCATCGACAAAATGTACTACATTTGGTATGCCTTCTAACATGATTCGCATGAATCGAGAAAATGTTGCGGTGGAATTAACTAGACCAAATGGCATTACTGTCCATTCGAACAAGCCTTTCTCTGTGGCAAATGCAGTCAAAGGCATGGAATCCGGATGCATGCCTATTTGCCAGAATCCTCTGTTTAAATCTAAGTGTGTGAATAATGTGGAGGAGCCATTTGTAACACAACTACTCTGACATGGCGTGGGAGCTTATTTCTTCCAGTAGTTCTCTGGTGTCCCTCATGGGTTCTGCATCTAATTGTGTGATTTTATTTAACTCCCTATAGTCACAACATATACGGCACTGGCCATTTTTCTTTTTTACTACTACCATGGGTGATGCTATTGGTGAATCTGATCTTTTAATCTTGTTAGTCTGTATTAAATGATTTAGTTCTTTCTTTACTTCTTCCCTAAATGCATATGGAATTGGATAGATTTTGTGTTTGAATGTGGGTTCCTGTGTTAATATTATCTTGTGTTCTAAACTACTAGTGTGTCCTATGTTCTCTGTGATGACATCTTTGTATTCTTTTAGAATTGTTGTTAAGTGTCTGTTTGTTGTGGTGTTATTTTCATTGTCTTCTAATTGTATAACACTAGCAACGGTGGCTGTGCTACTTATTTCATTACTGATGGTTTCTAACTCTTCAGGAACAGAGTCATATTTTCTGAGCAAGTCCACATGTAGGACTTTCAATTCACCCTTCATGTGAATTACATAATCAACTAAATTTAACTTGTCATGAATTGTAAACGGACCCTGCCAAATCTTTTGTCCATTATTGTTTGGCAACCATACCAAAACTTTATCATGTACTTTAAGATCTCTGAGGTATCTATGTGTATTCTTTATATGTCTTTGTCTTTTAGACTCCCTATCAGTGTTTTCTTTAGCATTTTCTATGCCATATGTAATCCTCTCTCTAATTTTTGTAATTATGTCAAATGTGTCTTGTTGTGTGCCTTTCTGGCCTAAAATATTTTCTTTAAAAAGAGTTAACGGTCCCTTTGGATTGGCCCCAAACATTAGCTCAAATGGAGAGTACCCAGTGGTGTCTTGTATACTCTCTCTATAGGCGAATAAAACCATGGGTATATATAGGTGCCATTCTCTAGGGTGGTCTATTGTTGTTTTATTTAACATTGTTTTTAGTGTTTTGTTCCATCGTTCTACCATACCATTAGCCTGTGGTCTATATATTGTGGAATGTACTTGTATTATACCTAGCATTTTTGTAACTGCATTGGTTAAGTTGGAAGTAAACTGTGTTCCATTATCTGACAATATTTTATCAGGGAACCCATGTCTTGTAAATACATCTAATAATGCCATGCAAATTGTTTCTGAATTAATGTTTTTGAGGGGAATTGCCTCTGGCCATCTAGATGCCATATCAATCATGGTTAAAATAAATTTGTGTCCCTTATTTGATGGTGGATTAAGAGGACCAATGATATCTATAGCTACCTTCTCAAAGTTTCTACCTATTTTGTCTGTGGGTTGTATGGGTGCTCTGTGTTTACTGTGTATTGGGTTTTTTGTCAGACATGGTATGCATTTGTTTATGTGTTTCTTTATGTCCTTGTGTATGCCTGGCCAATAAAAATTCTGTGTGACCCTTTCTAATGTTTTTTTTATACCCATGTGTCCAGCCAAAGGACTGTCATGTGCATGGTTGAGTATTTTGTTTCTGAGTATTAATGGTACTATTATTTGAGATTTTTTGATTTCACCTTTCTCAAAATTTCTGATTAGAATATTATGTTTTATTGTGTAATTATGTCCTCTATAAATTGTGTTATTGTCCTTAATTTTGTTTCTAATGTCCTGAATTTGCCTATCTTCTGTCTGCATTCTAATTATGTCCTCTCTAGATATTTGTTTTGGAATGTCTAATTTTTCTTCTATTTCAGGCTGTGTCTGACTAGTTTTATGTTGTTGTCTTGTTATTGCACTTATATACTCTTTGGTTAAATTTTTTGATTCAATCCAATTTAAGAATAGTTCTTGGGAATTATCTGGAATTTCTTTAATATTTCCAATTATTAACTGACATACTGGGTTGTCCATAAGTACTGCCGTTACCTTTCCTGTCAACCATGGACAGTCTATGTCCACTACTGCTTTATAACATTCAACTTTTGTGTTATTTGCTAACATGACTGTGGTTTTTTCAGATATATGGTCTTTAGGATCAATCAATTTTTTGTCAACTACTATTGTTGTACAACCTGTGTCTCTTAGACACTGAACAAGCTGGTTGTTTACATAAGAAGGAAAAAATTGTAAACTTCCTTCACTGTGACATGCGCTAGCTAAAGTTTCATGTGGTTTGGTGTTTTGTCTACTGTTAGTCTGATTGGAATTATATCTTTGATTTTTATATGGTTGTCTACTCCTATTTGCACTGTTGTATCTAATTGGACTACTGTTGGGTGATGTTCTCTGATAGTATTGTTGTGAATGTCCTAAATCTCTATGTAATTTCCTACACTCATATTTTTTGTGACCTGGAATGCCACAGTAGAAACATTTGTTGTTGTTTGAATAATTAGTATATGGTGTCTGGTAATTGTTTTGATGACTTTTCTGAAATTTATTGTTTTGCCATCTGGCAGGTAGGCTGTGGTATCTTCTGTTTTGATATGTGTTTTGTTTTTGACTGTCCCTATCACTGGGTGTGTTTCTAATAGAGGCTAGTGTGCTGTTTCTATTGTCTAGCTCTTCATTGGGGTGAGCATCTTTAAATGTTGTGATTGAGTCAACTAACTCACGCTCATTTTTAATCTTTCTCTCTTTAAGGAATGAAAATAAAGAGACTGATGCATTTCTTAATATTTTGTCTATGATAAACATATCCAGTAATGCTTTTGGATCATTTAGGTCAATTTCAGTTAATTCAAGCCATTTGACAAGATTGTCTCTAATATTGAATATGGTGGTGTTAGGATCTACTTCTCTCTCTAGTCTTATGTTGTGGAAATTTTTTCTATAAATGTCTTCTGTGTTTCCATAGAACTTTAACAAAACTTTCTTTATATAGTTATAATTATTCTTTTGTTCTTCACTGAGTGAATTAATAATACTTAGGCTTTTCCCTGATAATCTGCTCAATAAAATATTAGCCCAAGTCTCTTCTCTATAATTGTAAGACTGACAGATGCCCTCAAATTGTGATAGATAACTAATAATTTCTTCTTTATGTTCATTAAATTCTCTAAATTTAGGTTTGTATGTGCTATTGGTTTCTCTATTGCTTGTTGATGGTGTATGCTGTCCTGATTCTATTCTAGCTCTTTCTAGTTTTATTTCTTCCTCTCTTAATTTCATATCCTGTTCTCTTAATTTAAGTTCATCTATTTCCTTTTGTCCTTTTAATTTTAGTTCTTCTATTTGTTTAAGGTCGCTTCTCTCTAACATTCTAGCTTCTCGGTCTTTGTCTTTGTCTTGTCGGTCTTTGTCTTCTTTCTGTTTGTCCCTAATTTTGTCCATCTCACGAGTTACGAAGTCAGCTAATTTCTCCTGCTTTAAGCCAAGCTTCTCACCTACTTCTAATAGTTCTAAGTACTCTGCCATTTTTAGTTATAATGTGAGTAACTAAAATTATATTGGTATGTATCAGTATATCAGTTATCTCCTTATTCTTTAGTTATTAATTAAAATAGTTTACAATATTACATATATTTACATGTTAATGAATGTATACACAAATGCAAGTTGATACATGAATTATAAGTTATAAATAAGTGTAAGAAAAATTTAAAATAATTAAATTGTCTACTTCACAACATAAATACAGATATGTAGACGTTTACATGAATACTAATGAGACAACAAATACAAAAGTACTGTTTAGTTTATGGACCACAAGATAGTAGAAAATATGACAAATAGCACAAATATGACAAGATCTACTAAAAAACAACAGTTATGACAATGTACAAACTAGACTTCACAGCTAACATAAAATTATCCTACAGTGTTATAAATAGGGCCAGAAGAAACCTTTACTGTTTTAATAAAAAAACTTCCCTAGGAAAGATAACACCGTGGATATTCCTAAAGTATACTCTAAAATTAAACTTATAATATACAGAAAAAGTAAAAAAATTTTACTTAATCTAATTAAGTATGATATAAGTAGATTTTTAAAGTCTTAAATTATATATAATACATAACACATAAATACATAAATACCAAGTGTTTAAAAGAAATCTGTAGTTGGTCACCTCTGCTCCTCTGTGACGCTATGATCTCTGTGTAGTCGATAATCCTTCTATGTAGAAAGTGTACTTGGGTAAATACTCCAATGCAAAAGTTATATAATCCAATGAAAAAGTTACAACACAAACTGCTTCAGTAATCCAATGCAAGTACCTTGCGTAATAGAAGTAATAGTGTAATAATCCAATTGAAAATAGTGTACTTTCTCTCCGATTCAGTTGAACTTGCGAGTAATTAAAGAATTACTTTACTTGAAATGCGCACTAGGCTTTGTGCGGCTTGTATAAAGTGAAGATTATGCTGGGGAAATCTTACTTTCGATGTCTTGATACACACATCTCATCTGTAATAACGTCAGACTTCTACTTCTGTTGGTCTTGTAATATGTAGGCTTACAGTAAATCTTTGCTACAGTTGTAAATAACTTGAAAATTTTCCTTATGCTGCTAGTTGCCGTGTACCAGTTGACTGAACTCTGAACTCCCGTGACTGACCTCAATTATCGGCTAACTCTGTGTGTAGTGAACTCGTCTCGGACTTGATTAATACACGGTCGTAATGTCGTTCGCTGTATTCTTCCGCTCGAATTTTAAAATATATCATTGTTACTCAATGTTCTGTAACACATTTCTGACACTTCTTTACAATATTTGTAACGCATCGTCGTTACACCGCTTCTGACACCATTTGTAACACACCTACTCTGACATGGCGTGGGAGCTTATTTCTTATGCTGTGGGTTATGTCAGTAGTATGGTTACTTATGTTATGTTGATATTTCAGGATGCCGACTAAGGCTTCTTCATTCTTCCACTTATAATCCGGGCACGCAAATAAGAATACTGAATCCTGGTTAAACTTACAGTACTTTATTGAACACACTTTATATTGATAATATTAATAAATAATCCTTGCATGAATGTAATTTCACATATAAATCTATAGTATTCCATCATTAAGAAAGACACGTCCTCATACTACTGTCAACTCAGCTCAACTGTACTACATCTCAACTCTAACTCAACTCCGACTAACTCTGACTCCTTATCTCAGTCAACTCATACTTTATTATCAGCAAAGCGTGGAAAACAACCGCTCTGACAAAAACATAATTTTACTCTCCAAAAACGTGGAGTTCACTTTTGCATCTCAAAATACATGGTCAACACAATTCACTGTTCACTCATGCTACCTCTCTGTTTTCATGTGAAACATAGTCCGTTACAAAAACAAATTTTTCCACATCCAGAGCTTAAACAAAATCTAGAATTTTTAAATTTTTATTTTTAAGATTGTAGAATGTAGATTGGCATAACTTTATTGAACACATCTGCTCTATGACTCAAAGTAAAACATTCATTGAAGAGTTCTGCTAGGTGACGCATGTAAAACATTCACTGAACAAGCTTTAAAAACAAACAAAAAGTACATTTATATATTATGTAAGCAAGCAATCTCCAAACCAAAAGAACTGTACATTTAAATACAACCCAGGTACAAAAATCAACCACTCTCTCTCTCTCTTTCAATTATATTAACATTTTTTTCCAGTCACTGGTAAATTCTAAAAAAAAATATTGAGTTTTCTAAAAGGTATGAAATGTTAACTTTCTTGCAAGGTGTCTAAAAATATTGAAATAATTTTTAAAAATCTAGTGATATGACCTGTTTCTGTTATAATAACTAATGTCCTAAAACTTACTTACCCTAAGGTAGGTGGTAATGAGTGTTGTGAATATTTTTGTCATAGACTCGTCATTGAATGGGTTCATAGAGATGATGTTGAAATGTCTCATGAAACGGAGGGTGATGGTGTTACGCCCTCCTCCAGGTGGTCCCATGGCTGTTAGGAATTGGATGTCCTGCAGGTTTATCTTACTTGTGTCCTTGAGGTCATACCTGTGGACAGGAAAGAAATCTATTAGCCATCAATTATTCTATAATACAGTGCTGCTATCAAATTTAATTTAACAAAATTTTAAGTCACGTTTTGAAATAGCATGTGCCACTGTTTAAATAGAAAAAAAAAAACTTTTGTAGTAGGAAGCAATGTTGATCAATCAAACTAAATGATAAACCCAACTGACCAATTGCCGTGATCAATGAACTGTCGCAGCAACTCTATTGGGGGCTGAGCTCCGTACACCTCCTTGGCTGGCATGTTAAGATCATCCACAAAAATGATGGCCTTCTTCCCAACCTGGGGGCCAAAGACACCTTTGCGTCTCTTGTCTAGCCTTGACATTATGATGTTCTGTTGGAAAAAATATAAGGATTTCGGCTGAGTTTTAAGTAATTATTTTAACAAATATACTTGTAACTAAGCAATTAATTGGGCTTCCCTTATAATTACAAATAATTTCTGCACAGCCACTTGAGCTACAATATTATTATTATAAAAAGACAAGGCGCCATTTGGTAAGACTCATTACTATTACTTTTCACTAATCAAAGACATTTTTGGCAGGTATATCAAGCTGGTGAGGGGTTATATATGTGGATAATATTTTTCTCTCTCATTATTTATATATTATACATTCCTCTGCCATTTTTTCTATCCTCCAATCATAAATGAGTCCAATCCCATAGCCTTATTTCCAACTCACTTGTGTCATGTTTGCACTTGTTTGTGCTGAAAAGTTGATGAATGTGGCCAGGTATTTGTCCTGTGGGAGTTCATGCATGAGCTTCTGCTGCACATAAGCACTCTTTCCTGTGCCAGTTGGGCCAACAAGGAGAAGTGGTCTGAGGTGAGAAAAAACTGGACATTAAAAACATGAATGATAAAAATTAAGGAAAAAATCCAAGTGAATGAACCTACAGCCTCTTGCTGATGACCTGTGTGAGTCACAGTAGCCCAATCCATAGAAATCTTTGGTCCTGACACCATTCAAGACTTACCTGTTGTGATGTATGCACATGTCCATGATGAACGTGTACCTCGCTGTGTCCATGGTGGGTACAAGCATCTCACGAATCTTGGTCGTCTTGGGCTCAGATCCTCTCAGGAGAACATTCCAATGGTTCCATTGTCCTTTAGCCTTTTGCTATAAAATTTTTGAATTCAAAATAAAATGAGCACATTCCATAACATTCCTAAAATCAGTTATAATATAATATGGGAAAAGTTTAAGGCGTACATGTGCAATTAAACTAACATATATTTCCCATATTCAAAACTGGGTGATGCCAGTTCAAGTTGTAATAAAAATTATCTTTTCAAATTTTAATTTAAAATAAGAAGTCAGCTAATCTAACTGAACTCATCTCCCATACAATTTAAGATGTCATGTGATGAAAGCAATACTTATTTTAGAATTAACAAACATATACATTGTATAGACAGTATTATGTTCATACAAAATTCTTCATTTAGCAATGGTTTGTGGAAATATCTGACATGAACATGAGAGTTGATTTGATTCTCAATGAATGCAACTTTTGTATTCCCCTAGTCTTTTTTTAAGTTCTCAATTTCTTATTTTATACTGAACAGTCATAAGACTAAATACCTTAAATAAATTTATAAGAATTATATGTAAAAATAATGCAAAAAAATATAATTCATTTTCAAGAACATTTAATGGCACTTTGTTTATATTACCTCATAATAGTAGTCATACACTGGGTGTTCAGGTGGTATCATGGACTCAATTTTCCCAATATCTTTGGGGATTGGAGAATCCTCAAATTTCCCAGCAACCAACTCACGGAAGAAACCATCAAACTTTGTCCTGCTGTCAACATCGATGCAGCCTCCAATGGACCATGGGATGGCAAAAAGCACAGCAGACTTTTAAAAAATTAAAAAAAGATTACGGATAATATTAATTTATTGTGCACTTATAAGTAACAAAAACAACAGTTCTCCACTTTTCATCGTAATTTAGAAATATTGTACTTTAAAAAAAAAACTTGGAACTTTACACAAATTTAATTATATCTTGTTAAAATAGAGTTGTTAAATTTGTGGTCTAAATTTTTTAATAATTGATTATAAACACCTTCAATGATTTCATTTCTGCTAGAATGAGATTTGCAATCTTAACAAAAAAAACACATTATAGCTCAAGGAATGTCAAACTAAATCTTACAGTAAGCCAAGTTTTCAGATGCCTGTTCTCAGCAGCATCTTCTGCATTAATCCCATCATGCATCAGCATGTCTATTAAGAACATGAGAGACTTGATTTGATTGGCTGGGCTGCCTTGGACATACTCCTGAAAGAGTCAATCGAAAAACATAATTCAGGATGACTGTCTTTAAAATAGTTTCCATCACTTATTCAAATTTGAACAGGGGTACACAATCCTAAATTTCTAGGCACTTTTGTTTCATCCAAATATTTTTAACAAAAAGATAAAAAGTTTAAGGATTTCGAGGAAAATCTTTGTGGACTTGAGTAAATGTCATTACATTTTTAAAATTGTTATTTTCTAGGGTAGTTATTTTAAAAATAAAAATACTATTTAAGTCCCCAGGGAATTTACTTAAATGCACTGATATTTAAATCATCAACATTCTTAACTCATAAAATTTTGGCTTGGGACAATTTTAAGAAGATCACAATGTAATATTCTTTAATAGGTTATATGAAAACAATCCTTTTGCATGCCATGGGTCATCTACCTTGCAATTTTTCCTGATAAAATCCAGACATGGATCTACCAGCCACTCGAACAAACCATGCAACATCTCAATGTTTTCTTCTCCTACAACTTTTGGGAACACATGCAGCCAAGACTTCACCAGGGGGCGCCATCCAAGAGTGGTTGGCTCCAGGTACACCATGCCACATCGGCTTACAGTGGCAGGCTGTGTAATCAATTAAAAAGGAGGGGGGGGGGGAGAGTTATGGATGTTATTTTAATTTATATGTGATAGAAACTATTTTTAAAAATTATAATTATTCGATAATGATAAAAAACAATAATTTCAAGAATAAAATAATAAAAGTACAATAATTTTAATAATACAGACAACTGTAATACAATGAAGCATCTTCAGTTTAAACATGATGAAACATACACAAATGAAGAGACATTACTATAAAATTAAAATTATATTCCATGGCCCATGGGGTGTGCAAAATGACCCATATGGTTAACAGGACAAGCAAGGAATTTATGAATCAGACATGCCAAGCCAGAAGGTAGGGGTATTAAACTTATGTTAAGAAAAGGTGATTTGGAAGAACTTGGTTTAAAATAAAGATATATTTTCAAAATGTACATTAATATGTGTTAGTTCACCTACACTTTACTTAACTATCCAGTTCTGTTCCTATAACTAGGCCATCAGCCCCATTATTTGATAAGTGATAAGTGTGTCTAAACGATTAAAGAAAAAATTGAAAGCTTTAAATTTAATTGAAAGCACAATAGTGCTAAACGGGACTCCCCATGCTAGTGGGTTGTCTGTCTTATGTTGGAATAATTGTCAAACAATTAGATAGTTTGGAGTGAAATTCTTAACTTCTCAGAATGCCATCATTACTTAACTATTTAAAAAGATTCAGTAGGGAATCTTTTCTCACAAGGTTTAATTAGCATTTGTCCAGGTTAAAAGCAAGATTTAAAAAAATTACATAGGACACTTGATTCTATGGGCTTACCCAGGAAATTATCATGGAAAAAAGGCAAAAGATCTTACAAAATGATGTACCTTTCACTGTCTTACATAATCCAAACACTTCAATGTTTTTATACACATTTATCTGTTTCTAGTGAGTAGTATAAACTAGTAAATCAGATTTGTTCTCACCGAGGCTTGAGACAAGTCCATAGTTTCAAAGATGAGCGACATGACGGGTGACATCTGGATGATTTCACCACTCATCAGGCAGAGTTTCTTGTTGTCGTCCAGGACGGTGTTCATGTTCTCAATCCACAGGGCATCTATTGGCCCATCAAATATCACCCACTTCCTGTCTGGGGTGTCAGTGGAGGCAAACTCCCGGAAGGTGTTGGCGACCACGCCGTCTGTCCACTGTCAGTTGAGATTGAAAACAAATTGATGTGCCGTGTTGGTAAAGGAAGTTTGATGAATATAAGCAAATTACGATGAGATGGGAAAAGAAAATTTGACATAAGGTTATGTTTAAACTGTTGCATTGAGATCTTAGACTCTGATTTCACCAGATATTATCTTTTTTTTCTTCTTATATAAGTGAAATTATATAGTTCTTGACTAGGATTTTTTTTTTGTCCTTCATCTTGAACATTAAATTTTGATCATGAGTGAAAAATAATTATTAACTATGATCAAAATAACAGTTTGAAGAAACTGTTAAAAACTTTTCTTTTTTACAAATTTGTTCAACTTAAAAACTTTTCAAACTATTGTTTAATTCCTTTAATATATTATTGATTGTTACCTCATGAGAAACTTGGTCAAACTGACCAAACAGCTGACCCATGGTAATGGCCTTTGGGTTGATGATCCTTGAGATGACCTTCTCGTATTCCTCCTCACCTTCACTGTTTAGCAAGGTCATGCCCTCCTGGAGGGTCTCCAGCACTTTGGTTTTACCACCAAACGGCTCACCAACCAACATAAACCTGGGGAAAGATTTGGCACAATTTATTAAAACATTTTATTGATAGGTAAAAACTAAGTATGGATTAATCTCCAATCCAAATTATGGAGAATTTAAAACATGCAATATATGATAATAATGTAAAGCTGAACACATAGCTATTTAAATAATTTTTAAAAATGTATCACTGCTTGACTTTAAAAAAAAAAAAATAAGCCAATCTGATGTGGTTTGTGTAGAGACTCACCCATGTCTCACAATCATCATTTCGTAGGTTTGTATGATTTTCTCCTTGAAGAATTTCACAAACTGGAGATTTTTCTGTTCAGACACCCTGACCATAGCATCAAGGAAAACCTTTGGTTGAGAGCAAAGAAGATTTACTGGTGTTTTTACAAAGAAACACATGCAGGAAATAAACTATATTGATTTAGGGTGTAAGTACAGAAAATATCTGAAAACGTATTAAAGTAAGTTTCTGACTTAATGTGTTTCATACGTTTTTATAGGTTATTGTCTATATGTTGATTAAAAAGTTGGATAACATTTTCTCAGAGATTATGTAGACGTTCAAGCCTTGTCTTGTTTTTAGAGATTTAACTTAATTCAACAATAAAATTCCCAATTTAGATTCACACTATTAATTAATTTTTTTTTAACTGTTGAAGGCATTAGTCGAAACGTCATAAGTTTGAATTTTTTATTTAGTTAAAGCTTAGCTATACTCATTTATTTGAACAAATTTTTTGTGTCTCATTAATCACTGTAAAAATGCATTACTTTTAAAATTTCTTTCTCTTACCTATCTGCATATATCAAACCACACATCAACTTTTTTTTTTAATTTACCTTGTAGTCGGCCTCAGGCAGCTCAAGTCCAGGGAACAAATCTGAGATGATGCCCGTAAACAAGGGGATGTCATGTGACAGAAATTTGGGCAGGTTTACATCTATAATGGAGCGCAACAACTGGTGGGACAAGATGATCAATGAAAAAAGTGTGAATTCTTGAGGTCTTAAAATATTAAGATTTTCTCTTTAAACAAATAAATAAGGTCATATGATTCAATTACATTAAACTGCTCAGAGAAAACTCACAAAGTACTTGAACTGAATCTTAATCTGGTCATTGAATACGTTAGGGAAGAAGACTGATAAATATGTTTTTTAAGGAGATAATAATGGTCAAGACCTAAATGGAACAAACTTAAGCATTTCAATGTTCCAGATCTCCTCCATCCCCATGGTTTTTACCAGAATATCTTCTGCTTCATCTGGGAACTTGAGTTTGAGATTCCCTGCAGCTGACAGGACAGCTTTGACAGCCCGCATGCCGTAGTCGTAGTGGAACTGTGATGACAGCTGCTCCGAGCACAGACGATATGTGGTGACAATCTTCACAGCCAGACTGCGGGCATCCAGAAATCCAAAGGAATACAGGGAGATCTCAGCAATCATGGCATAGTCTGGAACCTGCCAGGTTGTCCAGAAAATAAATTAGTTTGGTTACATGGAAATTAAAGGGCTCCTTGGGGGGCCAAAAAGGTTTAGGGCCTATAGTTTAGGCATAAAAATATGCAATGAAAAGGGAAAGCATTACCTATAACGGTCAAGAGACAGAAACTTATAAATGTCATAAATATTACTTGTGTATTATTTATTTAACATGTGTTGACAGAAGACTAACTTTGATGTTATGAAAATTAATCTTAATCAGACCTACAGCTTTTGTGAAACTTGTAAGTCTTAATTCTTAATTTTTTTTTAGTTTGAATGAAACTTTATCTATCAGCTTTGTCAGGACTCCTTACCATCATAGCAACAGTCCTGAAAAGGACTTTGAGATTATCTGGCAACTCTGATCGACCAGCATAGCCAGGATTCATTGTGATACAGACGTAGCAGTTGGGATTTAGATTGAGCTCTGTCCCTTCAAACACAAACCTATCCACGTGGGCTTGTACAGCTCTGATGATGCACAAAATCTAGCAAAGGAAATATTAAAGATGATACATTTTTTTGTTTAGAGGCCAAACAGTAAAATAAAAAATACAAAAAAGTATTTCCTAAAGATGAAAAATATTCTTTCAGAGGCATGCAATAATAAAGCTTTAAAATGAGTTTGACAGGGTTACTATTTTAATCAGATCATAGGCGTCCACAGCGTATTCAACGGGGGTTGGGTGACACCCCCTCCATTGAAATTACTAAATTACTAACTAACGGCCATCACTGACAGACTAAACCCTCCGTTACTTTGCAAACAATCCTGCAGTGGCCCATGAATCGGATATGTGGCACATGAAAAAATATGTTAAATTTTCTTAATTGCCCTAGGTCATATATTTAAAATGCTTTCATTTCTAAAACTATATGATGTTAAACGGCTAACCAAATTACACAACAGTAAAGTTCTACAAGTTATACAACTGATACTTATGAACATAGTCACTATACCATTCCTCAAACATGCAAGATGCATAATTTTTTTTTATGTGTAATATGCTGGGTAAAAGGAACTTTTGTGGTAATCCAGTTTGAGCGATGTGTACCTGCTGAGCAACGACAGACAACACTTCCAGGTCAATACGATTGAACTCATCAAAACACGCCCAGGCTCCAGCTGATGCCAGGCCTTTAAAAAACTGAAACAAAAAAGAATAATCATTCAAACATTCAACAGACTGTACATATTTTTTAATAGAGCTAGAAATGAAAAGTTTGAACTTAAAATGATATAAAAAGTTTGTTCCAGCATTGTGCATAATGCATTTTTAACATGCCATTTTTGAATGAATTGCAGTAAATGTGTTGCTTAAATGTAGAACTAACTGTTATCCAAGCATCTGAAATGAGTCTTACCTTGCCCATAGCAATGTAGTCGAGACCATCGGAGCAGTTGAAGACTACACACTGTACAGCAATGGCCTTGGCAAGATCTTTAGTTGTCTCTGTTTTCCCTGTCCCTGCTGGACCCTCAGGGGCCCCATTAAGGTTCAGATGGAAGGCCCCAACAAGTGTCCTTGAACATTGGTTATAAAGACAAATGTTTCAAATATTGGCAGCTGTGTGTGTGTTTGATAAAAGTGAAAAATTAGTTAAACACAGGCCTTGAGTTGGAGTTTAGAAATAATCACTATGAAGATATTTCTTTTAACATTTATATGGAGATATGAAAATAAATTAGAAATAACCCCAGAGATGCACAGACATAATAAAATTCACTTTAAAACAGTTATGATTGTTTTTTTAAAGATTTTTAGACCAACAAAACATAAACAATTTTCACACACACTGAGATGACAATCACTTTCCCCTAACCATCAAAAATTTATTTTTAATCATTTACCAGCTGGACTTGTCAATTCATCATTTAAAGCCATAATCTAAACTTTAAATAAGATCGTATGAGTTTTTTTTAACTCTGTCTTCTCAGTTAATTTTTATTTTATAATTTAAAAAAATTAATCAGCCTTCCAGATTTCAAACAACGTTAACAAGTATATTTATATTATATATATATATATGCATAAAAATGCATGATAAGTTAGTACAACATAGTTGTGGATAAGTGCCACAAGTACCTGTAACATCTGTCTGTCAAAGGTGTGATGACCAGACGTCCAGAATTGCCCAGGTACTCATTACAATATTTGACAGTGGCATTTGTTATTCGGACCAACATCCTGGCATCTTCCCAGTAGTAGCGAAGCTGTGCCAGCCAGTTGAAGTCATTCTCTGTGGCAACACCTGATAAAATACATGATAACTGAATATTACTTGTCTATTGGTTGTGCGGGTCTTTTATTTCATTTAAAGGTTAAATGTGATAATTTTATGATAAATTAGTCATCTTATAATTGTGTGATAAGTAAGTCAGATATATTGGGTAATAAAGGGAGAGACTGCAATCAGGTTCGCAAAACCTTATAATTGAATGATAAGTTAGTCATCTTATAGTTGTATGGTAAGTTAGTCATTTAATTTACTGTATGATATAATAGTCATCTTATAATTGGTGATAAGTTTGTCATCTTATTATATCAAACACATAGAATTGTAAAAAATGTAGAAAAATAATTTTGAAAAAAAGAGAAAGTGATTTGACTTTTATAAATAAGATAAGGAGGAAAAAAAACTGATGGAATACCTTTGTCTGCCATTTCTAGTACAACATCCCTTGCGTGGACATCAATTGTGACCAGGGCACCTAGAGTGATTCTCTGCTGTTTCGTCAGCTTGCCCCTTACAAGGGCAACAACTTCAGTCATCTGAGGTAAGCAGGAGATGGGATATTGTAGTTATCTTAATTATCACCTAACATGACATGTCATGTAGGAAAACAAAGGACATTTTTAGTGGTGAGCAATGGATAGAATCATCCAATGAACGAGATTAGTGGGTAGAATCATCCAATGTATGGGATTATTGGGTAAGATCATCAACTGTATGTGATTAGTGGTAAGATCCTCCGCGGAATGGCATTAGTGGTAATATCATCAACTGAATGGGGTTATTGGGTAAGATCATCCACTGAATTGGATTATTGGGTAAGATCATCCACTGAATGGGATTTTTGGGTAAAATCATCCACTGAATGGGATTAGTGGATAAGGTTATCCCCTGAAAATTGGCTGTGCAAAATTAAATAAGACAAAAATCTTTAAATTTTGTTAACTAGATGCAAAAATCCAAGATGCAGCAAATATATCATCGTCCCTCACCAGTTCAGGAACCCCATGCTGAATATAGTATTTGAGGTCGGGGGTTGTTTGACAACTAAAATCTGTGTCAAGATTTCCTCAAGGAAAAAATGGTTTGGAATGGTGGGTTTAGCACATCTGCCACATCACCTGACTGAAGCAGAAACAACACTGACCTGCACTTTCAGCCTCTCATAATATTCTCTCAGGCCCTGTGGTCCACCTGGGATAGCCTCATGAACCTCCCTGGTCCAGAAAGCCTGGGGGGCATAAAAAACTTTTTATAATTTGCAGAGAAAAAAAAAAAGGAAAAAAAACAACAGCTTTGTCCTAAACACTTAATTATTTCAAACACTCAGACTTTTCCTCTGAAAATATTCTAACCATACAAAATCCAAATAACAAACTATTCATGCACTGTTGGGTTGATTAAGTAAATAGGTTTTAAGTTCTTCCAAGATCTACACATATAAACATGCAGTTGTGAAATCAGACAAAGGTGAAAACCTGGCTGAAGACTGCCCCCCCCCCCCCAACCCCTGTTGAATTTCTGCAAATGTAAAACATTGTAGAAGGATGCTAGTTTACTTTTTTTTTTTTTTGTTTTT